TCCATAATTATTCCCTTCCCTGTATTATTTAATGCTCCTTTCGTTCCTACTGTCCACAGGAGAAGTCTCCTGGCCTTGTGACCAATCAGAACATAGAGGAAGTGATTCTGTGCCAATTCCGGGCCCAATCTCCAAGAGAACGTGCAAGCTTCATTTTCTCTTTGAACTTTGCCCAGCCACCTTATAAACAAACCCTGGTTAGACATACTTCAGGATAACAGACCCCATAGGAGCATATAAGACATCCAGGTGAGGCTAGCCTAGGCCAGCCAACTCCTACATAACAATGCAGAAGATATAAATAGACAGCTCTCCAGAGAAGACACACAGATGGCCAAAAGATACATGAAAAGATGCTCAACATCACTAATTATTAGAGAAATGCAAATCAAAACTACAATTAGGTATGACTTCACACCAGTAAGAATGGCCATCAACAAAAAGTCTACAAATAATAAATGCCGGAGAGGGTGTGGATAAAAGGGAACCTTCCTATACTGTTGGTGGGAATGCAAATTGGTACAGCCACTATGGAGAACAGTATGGAGGTTCCTTAAAAAACTCAAAGTAGAGCTACCATATGATCCTGCCATCCCATTCCTGGCCATATATCTGGAGAAAACTATAACCTGAAAAGATATGTACCCCAATGTTCACTGCAATACTATTTACAATGGCCAAGACATGGGAACAGCCTAAATGTCCATCAACAGATAAATGGATAAAGATGTGGTACTCATAAACAACAGAATATTACACAGCCATAAAAAAGAATGAAATAATGCCATTTTCAGCAACATGAATGAATCTAGAGATTATCATACTAAATAAGTCAAAGATAAATATTTTACTGTAAAAAATATGGTATCATTTATGTGGAATCTAAAATATGATACAAATGAACTTATTTACAAAACAGAAATTCAGACACAGAAAACAAACCTATGGCTATCAAAGGGGAAAGATGGAAGAGATGGACACATTAAAAATGGGAGTAACACAGTGTATAGTGTCAGTCGCTGAGTCGTGTCCGGCACTCTGTGACCCCATGGACTGTAGCCCACCAGGTTTCTCTGTCCATGGAATTCTCCAGGCAAGAATGCTGGAGTAGGTTGCCATTTCCTTCTCCAGGTGATCTTCCCAACCCAGGGATCGAACCCAGGTCTCCTGCACTGCAGGCAGATTCTTTACCATCTGAGCCACCACATACACATATAAGGGCCTACAGTACAGCAGAAGGAACTATACTCAATATCTTATAATAAAACTATATGGTAAAATAATCTGAAAAAGGTATTTGTATATAAATATATATGAATGTATATATACACATACAGATATATATGAATCATTTAACTGTATACCTATATATTGTAATCAACTATACATAAATAAGAGAATTTTTTTAATTAAAACAAGAATTGGCCAACTGAGCAACTTTGTATGATTTTGGATTATTTCCTTAGTATCCTTCTATATATACAAAATTGACAAATATAAACATATTTAATAGATTTTATTAATAACTATCTTACTTCCATAGACTGAATGTTGGGAGCCTTCCCTGAGATTCATACATTAAATCCTAATGCCCAACATGTGGAATAGAAGGTGGAGGTGGAAGGTCTTTGGGAAGTGATAGGTCACGAAGGCAGAGTTCTCACAAATGCAGTTAGTATCACTACAAAAGCAGCTCTGGAGAGCTCCCTTGCTCCTTTCACCACGTGAGGCTACAGCAAGAAGATGGCCATCTATGAACCAGGAAGTTGGCTCTCACCAGATTCTCACTGAATTGGCCAGTGCCTTGGACTTTCCAGCCTCTAGAAGTGGGAGAAATAAATATTTATCGTCTCCAAACATTCTATTGTTTCCCTCTATTTCTTTGCATTGTTCATTTAAAAAGGCATTCTTATCTCTCCTTGCTATTCTTTGGAACTCTGCATTCAGATGGTATATCTTTCCTTTTCTCCTTTACCCTTCACTTTTCTTCTTTTCTCAGCTATTTGTAAGGCCTCCTTAGACTACCATTTTGCCTCTTTGCATTTCTTTTTCTTGGGGATAGTTTTCATCAGCGCCTCCTGTACAGTAATGCTGGGAAAGATTGAAGGCAGGAGGAGAAGGATATGACAGAGGACGAGATGGTTGGATGGCATTACTGACTCAATGGACATGAGTTTGAGCAAACTCTGGGAGATGGTGAAGGACGGGGAAGCCTGGCGTGCTGCAGTCCATGGGGTCACAAAGAGTCGGACACAACTGAGTGATTGAACAACAATAAGCCAACCAGTCTACGGTATTTTGTTATAGCAGACCAAATGAACTAAGACATCTATTAACTTACACTCAATAGAATGGTATAATGGTGTCTGAAAAATAATAAAAGCTGAGTGATTCTCATTGAGGGCAAGTCTATTCATATTAAAGAAAGTCTGAATTTTGGTCTGTTTAAAAACAGCATTAATTTCAAGTATATCAGTTCAGTTCAGTCGCTCAATCGTGCGACCTCATGAATCGCAGCACGCCAGGCCTCCCTGTCCATCACCAACTCCCGGAGTCCACCCAAACTCATGTCCATTGAGTCGGTGATGCCATCCAACCATCTCATCCTCTGTCATCCCCTTCTCCTCTTGCCCCCAATCCCTCCCAGCATCAGGGTCTTTTCCAATGAGTCAGCTCTTTGTATCAGGTGGCCAAAGTACTGGAGTTTGGGCTTCAGCATCAGTCCTTCCAATGAACACCCAGGACTGATCTCCTTTAGGATGGACTGGTTGGACCTCCCTGCAGTCCAAGGGACTCTCAAGAGTCTTCTCCAACACCACAATTCAAAAGCATCAATTCTTCAGCACTCAGCTTTCTTCACAGTCCAACTCTCACATCCATACATGACCACTGGAAAAACCATAGTCTTGACTAGATGGACCTTTGTTGGCAAAATAATGTCTCTGCTTTTTAATATGCTATCTAGGTTAGTCATACCTTTCCTTCCAAAGAGTAAGCATCTTTTAATTTCATGGCTGCAATCACCATCTGCAGTGATTTTGGAGCCCCCAGAAATAAAGTCTGACACTGTTTCCACTGTTTCCCCATCTATTTGCCATGAAGTGATAGGACCAGATGCCATGACCTTGGTTTTCTGAATGTTGAGCTTTAAGCCAACTTTTTCACGCTCCTGTTTCACTTTCATCAAGAGGCTTTTTAGTTCTTCTTCACTTTCTGCCATAAGAGTGGTGTCGTCTGCACATCTGAGGTTATTGATATTTCTTCCGGCAATCTTGATTCCAGCTTGTGCTTCTTCCAGCCCAGCATTTCTCATGATGTACTCTGCATATAAGTTAAATAAGCAGGGTGACAAATACAGCCTTGACGTACTCCTTTTCCTCTTTGGAACCAGTCTGTTGTTCCATGTCCAATTCTAACTGTTGCTTCCTGATCTGCATATAGGTTTCTCAAGAGACAGGTCAGATGGTCTGGTATTCCCATCTCTTCCAGAATTTTCCAGTTTATTGTGATCCACACAGTCAAAGGCTTTGGCATAGTCAATAAAGCAGAAATAGATGTTTTTCTGGAACTCTCATGCTTTTTCGATGATCCAGCGGATGTTGGCAATTGATCTCTGGTTCCTCTGCCTTTTCTAAAACCAGCTTGAACATCTGGAAGTTCACAGTTCATGTATTGCTGAAGCCTGGTTTGGAGAATTTTGAGCATTACTTTACTAGTGTGTGAGATGGGTGCAATTGTGCAGTAGTTCGAGCATTCTTTGGCATTGCCTTTCTTTGGGACTGGAATGAAAACTGACCTTTTCCAGTCCTGTGGCCACTGCTGAGTTTTCCAAATTTGCTGACATATTGAGTGCAGCACTTTCACAGCATCCTCTTTCAGGATTTGAAATAGCTCAGCTGGAATTCCATCACCTCCACTAGCTTTGTTCGTAGTGATGCTTTCTATGGCCCACTTGACTTCACATTCTAGGATGTCTGGCTCTAGGTGAGTGATCACACTATCAAGATTATCTGGGTAGTGAAGATCTTTTTTGTACAGTTCTTTTGTGTATTCCTGCCACCTCTTCTTAATATCTTCTGCTTCTGTTAGGTCCGTACCATTTCTGTCCTTTATTGAGTCCATCTTTGCATGAAATGTTCCATTGATATCTGTAATTTTCTTGAAGAGATCTCTAGTATATACAATAAATTATATTGTATATCTAGTATATACAATAAATAAAGTATTAAAAATATATATCCAACTGTGTCTATACTTATATATAAAATTTACTTATACCAGAAACAGCTAATATTTTAAGATAGTTTTTCATAAAATCAATTGTAACTATCTCTTGTGATCTTCATTCATTTACCAGGCATGGACGTTATCAAGCACAACGCACATGTACTACACACCAGGCTCTGTTCAAGATGCTGAGAACGTAGTGGAGAAGAAGGAAGTCAGGAGGTCTATGCACTAGTTTATATTCCAGCAGATACGCTTAACATTGTTAAAGTTTCTAGGCAAAATCTTTTGAAATTTCAACTATTAAACATATTTAAAGGTTTGAGTAAGGACTTAATTATAAGATTAAAATATCTACTACTTTATCTCAAAAAGGCACATGGAAATAAGTATTAACTAGCAGTGATTAAGAAAAAATGGCTTCTCAAAACTATCTTCCAATTACCATGATATGCAACATGCTTAATTATCCCCAAAGTATACACAAATGATGTAGAACCAATACAGATCATAAATAATTAATATTAAGATTTATTGCTCAGAACAATCAGGAGTCTATTCAGTTTAAAATAATTTTTTTTTTCAGAGCTTTGGTACTCAAACAGGCAAAATTCTGGAAATGTCTGGGACTGGGGATAGACAGACATTAGACTTCAATGTCCTTGTAAGGTTCTATTTCTTAAACTCTAAGTGGTAGGTACAAAGATACTTCTTTATTAGTCTACACTTCTGCATGCCTGAAATACTCAGTAATAAAAAAAAATAAAACTCACCGATCAATTACAATCTCTTTCTGCCTTAGTAGTCCTTCTTTTATTTTCAGCACTGATTCCCACTTACTGAAATCTTGATAGCCAGGAGGTGAATAACTTTGACGAGATGATCCAGACAAAACCTGCACAAACATGTTTATGCTATTAGTATACTAAAAGTGGCTAAAGGGAATATTTATGTCATCTAGTATTTTCCCAATGATTTTCATTTTAAAAAAAGAGAATTCCCCATTTGATTAAAGAATTTTTTTTAATTACACCTGTGAATACAACATAACATGAAGAATTTTAAGGAAGTTCTAAAGTAAATGTACAAATCTAATCAAGAATTGGTGGACAACAGAACACATTATAATACTAAATGTAAGATGTTGTTCTCATTATCTTGTGCAAGCTTTCTGGAAATAAGAAAATCAATCACTGCCTAAGGAAGGAGTACAATAAAAATATAATATACCAAGGCTAGACTGTACACGTATTATCAGAAGGGTTTCCACATCTTGAAACTGTCATTCATCACATCACCCTTTAATTGCATTAAAATTTCAAAAGCTAAAATACTTTCCAAAGTAGTCACAGAAAATGACTACTAATTAGATAATCTAGATGACTGCTGGTCTCTAGTGTATCATTTAGGGAAAAAAATCTGTTTAGACTTTTAAAAATATTTAAGATATTTAAGCAACATAAACAACAACAAAACCAATGTAACATATCTTCAAACTTCTATCACTGAAACAAAATTAATATTTTAATACTGGTGGTACTGGTTGAACTGACTCCTCAGAATTATGCTGAAGTTCTAACCCCCAATACCTCAGAAGGTAGCCTCATTTAGAAATACAGACTCTGCAGATAAAGTCAAGAAGAAGTGATTCAGTTCAGTCACTCAGTCGTGTCCAACTCTTTGCGACCCCATGAATCGCAGCACACCAGGCCTCCCTGTCCATCACCAACTCCCGGAGTTTACTCAAACTCATGTCCATAGAATCGGTGATGTCATCCAGCCATCTCATCCTCTGTCGTCCCCTTCTCCTCTTGCCCCCAATCCCTCCCAGCATCGGGGTCTTTTCCAATGAGTCAGCTCTTTATATCAGGTGGCCAAAGTATTGGAGTTTCAGCTTCAGCATCGGTCCTTCCAATGAACACCCAGGACTGATCTCCTTTAGGATGGACTGGTTGGACCTCCTTGCAGTCCAAGGGACTCTCAAGAGTCTTCTCCAACATCACAGTTCAAAAGCATCAATTCTTTGGCGTTTAGCTTTCTTCACTGTCCAACTCTCACATCCATACATGACCACTGGAAAAACCATAGCCTTGACTAGATTGACCTTTTTAATATGCTATCTAGGTTAGTCATAACTTTCCTTCCAAGGAGTAAGCGTCTTTTAATTTCATGGTTGCAGTCACCATCTGCAGTGATTTTGGAGCCCCCAGAAATAAAGTCTGACACTGTTTCCACTGTTTCCCCATCTATTTGCCATGAAGTGATGGGACCAGACACCATGATACTAGTTTTCCAAATGTTGAGCTTTTTTTTTCTTTTTTTAATTTTTTTTTGAATGTTGAGCTTTAAGCCAATTTTTTCACTCTCCTCTTTCACTTTCATCAAGAGGCTTTTTAGTTCCTCTTCACTTTCTGCCATAAGGGTCGTGTCATCTGCATATCTGAGGTTATTGATATTTCTTCCGGCAATCTTGATTCCAGCTTGTGCAAGTCATTAGACTAACACAAAAGGGGAAATGTGAACACAGACATGCACAGAGGGAAGACTGTGTAAAGAGATGAATATGATTGCCAGAAAGTTTTTAGAAACCAGCCTGAAACAGACTTTTATTCACGGCCCTCAGAAGGAATTCATTCTGCTGACACCTTGATTCTGAACTTTTAACCTCCAGAACTGTGACATAAATTTCTGTTGTGTAAGCTACCTTGTTTGCGTGTTAGGGCAGCTCTAAGAAACTAATACAATTGGTAAATCAAACAGGAACACAAATCCCTTGGCAAGCTAAGAGAGGCTACACAAACACAAAAAAAGCAACTTTCAAGGAATTCAAACTAGCAGCAATATCTTTATCCTTTGCTTTCTAAAGATGTATTGACAAGACTTGCTTCTGAATAAACCAGTAACCAGGTGACATCAACTAGTCCTAGATTAAACCTTAAAAATGCCTGTCAAGTAATACTAGGACAGGATGCTTCAGGCAGCAGCAGATGAGCAGACTAAGAATGGTAGAAACTAGGTGGTAACAGGGTACATAACTTTGTCAAGCGGGCAGGTATTCGGAGCTGAGATGACACACAAGGTTAGAGAGGCAGGTTAGCCAGAGGTTTGGCTCTTGAATCTCACTCTTCTGCCGAATACACGACTCAGGCTGACACTCGGCCAACATGCACCAGTACGGGTATACTAGTCGTTGCGGTACAGAGCATTTTCACCGTGGTTGAAGACAGATGCTGCCCAAACACCTTGAAAAGGGCTTCCCTAGTGGCCAGATGGTAAGGAACCTCCCTGCAATGCAGGAGACCCAGGTTCAAACCCTGGGTCAGGAAGAGCCCCTGGAGAAGAAAATGTAAACCCACTCCAGTATTCTTGCCTGGAGCTACAGTCCACAGGGTCACAAAGAGTCAGACATAACTGAGTGACTAACACTTTCAAACCCCCTGAACGTCCTACCCACAGCCCAGGCCACTCCTCAGAGCTTTCCATCACCCAACAAAGAGTGACTTCCTGGCATAAATGGGGACCTTCAGGACACCACTCATGGCATCCTTCCTGACTGGCTGGTTTCTACTCATCAGTCTCTCAAAATCCTCCCATCTCGACACTATCTACCAGCTTATATTTAGTCACCAGAGCCAGGATTCAAATACAGGCAGCCCAACAAAAGAGCACCACACTGCCTCACTCTTTCTGCTATGGCCCAGCTGACGAAGAAGGTATTTCAAATTTCATATCATAGGAGCTGGAAAAAATGTTTGACAGTAACTGCTCTTAAAAACTGAAGAGACAATTAAGCACTATAAACAATATTGTTGATATTAAGAGAAAGTCTCTGCTTATCACAACTCCATGTTACTTAAAGACTATCAATTTAATGGGTAGTCATTTCATGCAATTTAGTCAAACTGTAGCTCAAACAGGAATTCATTAAAAGTGATAACATCTAAAACCATATTAATAATTCTAAAACTCAACATAAGTTGTGGAAATTATCAGAATGATATGGTGAACTGTTTGTGCTATAATTATTTAACTTGTAGAATAAAAGCAAATATATATTTAATTTATATATTGAATTATATATTGATCCCCTGGTAACAGGTTACAGATATTTTAAATACTGGTTTTTGTATATCATTTTCATGCCTAACAGAAAACTTCTAAGATAGCTTGAACATCTACGATATCCTCTTCCAAGAATCTATCAAAGTTTCCTCCAATGCGGATTACAAGTCAGGAAAGACCTATAGCATGATATTTTAAGCTATGCTTTACTTTACACTTCTTGTACTTATTTCAGTAAAACAAGTGCCTAGACAATAGATGATGATCTTTACAAGATGACATGAATTACTCTATTCTTCCAAAAGTTAGCTGCTAAAAATTTTTCCTAAGTTGACAACTTCCTAAGGAGGTCTTTTCTTACTTTATAAAACTTCTTGGCATCAAGAAAGAAGTAAAGAAAAGAAAAAAGTAGGTCTGCAGGAGAAAAGCAAACGACAATATAGTTGGTTTACAGCACTTCAACCATTGACAACATGGACCGCTGAAGTACTGAGTTGGCCAAAAAGTTCGTTCAGGTTTTCTGTAACAGTGTATGGAAAAACTTGAATGAACTTATTGGCCAATTCAATACCTGCCAGATACATTTATGAATATATGTAAAACAAAATTTGAGGCTTTATTCTTCCAATTTGTAGCTTCCTTGATCTAAACCCTTTAGAAAACAAAACAAAAAAATGAGCAAATAGGAAGAAAGGAAAGGAAACCTTTCTCTGTAATTAAGATGCAGTAAACAATTAGCAAATCAGTTGCATGGCAGTCTTCTTACTAAACTTTAATCCTGCCTCATAAAATAGTCTAAAAATGAGAATGAATCCTGACCATCAAATGCTGCAGGCAGTGTGTATTAGTTGCTCAGTTGTGTGGAACTCTGCAACCCCATGGACAATAGCCCACCAGGCTCCTCTGTCCATGGGAATTCTCCAGACAAGAATACTGGAGTGGGTTGCCATGCCCTCCACCAGGGGATCTTCCCAACCCAGGGATCAAACCCAGGTCTCCCACACTGCAGGCAGATTCTTATCATGTAAGCCACCAGGGAAGCCTCAATCCTGATTCATAAAAATAGTTTAAAAATGACAATGAATCCTAACAACCAAATGCTGCAGGTAGAGTTACATGTAATTTTAAAAACCTGTTTGTATCTGCCCTACACTGAAAATGACAATTATGGAAACATGTTACCTTTTAAGGCTTTTATAATGAGGCCTTAGTGTATGCTATTCTAAATGAAGTTATAGAACACAATTTGAATCAACTAGTTAAGAGTTATTAAAATCATAGCAAAACAGCTACCATACCTTTATGATTTTGCACAGTATATAAACAACGTTACTTAAGATATACAGATAAGAAACAATTGATGAAATTTTATTTTTAATATAATTTATAGCAAACTGGAAGTTTGTATCCTTTGACCTACATCTTCCCATCTCCCCACCACCCTAACCTCTGGTAACCACCACTCTATAGTTTCTATTTCTATAAGTTTGGCATTTTTAGATTCCACGTATAAGTGACATCATATGGGATTTGTCTTCCTCTGACTTATTTCATTTGGTCAACTAACTTTCACAAGGGGTGCAAAGCTGATTAAATGGGGAATTATATTTGGTATCTAATCAAAAGAAGTGAAAAATGTATGTCTACAAAGACCTACAGGCGAACACTTTATCACCCCAAACTGGAAACAAACCATTAACTGATAAATGGATAAACTGTGCCACATCCACAAAATGCAATACGAACTTAACAAAAACAAAATGTATACCTAACCTCTGCAGGCCTAAACTTTATTTTTCTGTCTACCTCAAAGTAAGACTGCGGTGAAATCAA